CTGGTAAAGGGGATTTTAACGCCGCTGCAGCTTCCCCGCCGCCGGGCCCTGCTCCTCCCGTCACCGCGACCCCCGGCTGTCCCCCCCCGCTCTCTGCCGCCCCGAGCCGCCCTGCCCTCCCCTCTCTCCCGCGAAGCCATTCACTTCCTTACCGGAGCATCCCACCGAAGCCTGTCGCTGCTGAGCATCCCTCTCTGCGCCTGCCTGGGCACGGCCTTTCCCGGCACCCAGGCTGGGTTCAGACAGGAATTCCGTACAAGCCTCCGGGGATTTTCCTCCCTAAGCCAGGCCCTTTCAGGATACTGGGCTGTGCACCACCCGCAGGTATTTCTAGACTGACTCTTGCTACAGCCATCACCACAGCCCAGCAGCCCGCGCCCTCCAACCCCTGGCCTGGCTGTGGAGGCATCCCCTGGCCCCGTCAGGGCTCTCCCCGCGCCCCAGGCCTTCGGGAACGCCTGGGGTCAGCCCTGCCCCATGGCCCCAGGCCCAAACCCGCACTGGCGACTGGTGCCAGGAGAGCCGGACCCTGTCGGTCGGCAGCACCCGGTGAGGTGGGATGCACGGCAGCTCCAAAAGCTGTCAGAGCCCAGGAGTCAGTCCCGGGGTGCGACTGGGGCTTGTGAGGAGGTGACTGGAAACGCAGCTGGCATCAGGGCTCTCTCCTTCTCTGGTGCGTGCCCATGTATCTGTGAACAGGAACAGCCTAGGAAACGGGAGTTAAGGGCAGGCACGCACAGGGCAGGCAGTGCACGCCGCTCGGAGGGCTGGACGGGGGATTTCCTACCTGTGCCACAGACACGTCGTTTGGACCCTGCCTGTTCAGCGTCCAGAGGTGTAGGGGGGACACCACATATGGGCAGAATGGGGCATGTTTCTGCCTTGGGGAGTCTAGTTCTGAAACAACTTAATAATAATAATATTAATAATTCATATTAATTAATGTCATCCACACTGACATTAGAACATGAGTAGCAAGTGCATCAAGTGCATCTGTAGCTGCTGGGAGCTCCAAGCGTGGCCTGGCAGCGGCAGTCTCTGTCCCCGGGGCCTTGGCTGGGATGGCACAGTACAGCGTCTGCTCAGGGATGCAGATTGGACCCCCTCCCTCAAAATCTTGCACAGCATCAGAGTGCAGATCTGATCTGGAAACATCCTTGCGGTTGTTTGAAGGCAGGTGCTTTATTCAAGAGAAGGAAATACAGCAGCAGACCCACCAGCCCAAACCTGTCCCTGCATGGCTGCTCCAAATCCTGATTCCAAACCCACTCCCAGCCCTGCTCCCTCTTCTGGTCCCATTCCTGGTCCCAAACACAACCTCAGTGCTGGTCCTGATCCCAGTGCCTATCTCCATCCCAAACGGGGTCTACTGGTTGGACAGGGAGGCTGCCAGAGCCCAGGAGCCAACACAGTCACCCTGAAAAGAGCTGGGAAACCCATCGCAGTCTCTGCCCCATTTCTCACTGGGACCAGTTCCTGCACATCTGTTGCTCTGGTCCAGCCTAAAGCGGCGCTTGGCCCAGCCCTGCCCAGGGAGGCAGAGGCTGCAGAACCGACCCCCAGCAGATCAAGACCCTTCAGCCTGGCCCCCAGTCCCTGGCACTGGGCAGCACCTCTGTGCTGGGAGGGGGACAGGGCAGAGCAGCGGCAGGGATCCTTCCCCCAGCAACAAGGGGGGACAAGCAGCCCCCAGCGCCAGGCGTGCTGCACCCCCAGAGCTGGGGCGGGCTGGGACCGGGACTGATGCTGATTTTGTCCCTGCACTTCTCCTCCTTTAAGGCTCTTTTGTTCCGCTGCCCCGATCCCAGCCGGCCCCGAGCCTGCGGGGCCGAGGGCAGGAGGTGCCGGGGCCCTGCCTGCGCCGCTGCCCGACAGCTGGCAGCCGGGCTTCCCGGGGGGCTGGGGGGGCTCTCCCCTCGCTGATCGCCTCCAAGCTGCCGGCCAAGGGCGGCTTTGGAAGAGGGACAAGATGCAGCTGCCTGGCCGGGAAGAGAAGAAATCGAGTATTTGAGAAATAACCGGCGACATCGCTTTAAAGTGGCGCGGCTTCACGCCGCCGGGTGTGGACATGTTCCTCACCTCCGCGGCCGGGGGTCTGCCCCCAGGAAAAGCCCCTAAATAAACCCTCGAGGAGGCAGGAGCCAGTCTGACCGGGAGGAAGGTGGGAGCCCTGCGGGAGCCGGTTCCCCTCCAGCCTGGGAGACCACCAGCAGCAAACCCTCCCGACGGGGCGGGAGGGAGGAAACTTGGTGTCTCCGGGAGAAACGGGCAGGGTGCGGGCAGGGCGGGCAGCCCGGGCTGGGTCCATCGGGGTTTTATTGAAAACGGGATTCACGGCAGGAAAAATCCGCCCTGAGCGCGATCCCTTCCCAGTTGCGCCAGTAGGTACCGCCGCCGGGCGCTGGGCGGGCGGAGCGGCCCCGGCTCCGCC